CCAGGCTGGCCTCGAACTCACAGAGATCCGCCTGGCTCTGCCTCCCGAGTGCTGGGATTAAAGGCGTGCGCCACCACCGCCCGGCTACATTCAAAAATATTTACCGAATGAATACCTATTACATAGCATGGGTAGGGAGCCTTTGTGTCATTTCAAACAGCAGATCAGGCATCAAGGGCTTATTCTGAAGCCTGTGCCAATTTGGATGCCGTAAAGGAGTAAAGTGAGACTTGAGGGGCCTTATCCCCTAAGTACCCAGTAAATGCTTCCCACGGAGAAGAAAGAATGGTCTTTCTGGCGCAAGGGCTTCTTTAGCCAATGTATACAGCTTCTGGGTGAGTATTCCTAGTCACCATCTGTTACCCATTCTACATCCTTATGCAGGAACAAGATTGGGAGAGCGGAAGTGAGGCCGAGGGGGACAGCTGGTACCCCACAAACATGGAGGAGCTGGTCACAGTGGATGAAGTAGGGGAAGAAGACTTCATTATGGAACCAGACATCCCAGAGCTGGAAGAAATTATGCCCATTGCCCAGAAAGACAAAATCCTCCCTGAAATATATCCCTGTGTGACAGCCACCTTAGGTTTGGACTTGGCCAAAGATTTCACCAAGCAGGGGGAAACCATAGGGAATGGGGATACAGAAATCAGCTTCACGCTGCCCAGACAACTGCCGTCTACTTCCACAAGCTGTCCCAATGACACGGACATGGAGATGCCTAGCCTAAATCTGGATGCTGAGCGGAAGCCAGCTGAATGCGCGACAGGCCTCTCACTGGAGGTCTCAGATTGCTGTGAGAAGGAGGCAAGAGGAGCAGAGGGCTCAGATGTGCGTCTGGCCCCCACAGCCCAGCAAATGTCTTCCCTCCAGCCAGCAGATGAGAGGGCCCGGCAGTCCAGCCCTTTTCTCGATGACTGCAAAGCCAAGGGGTCCCCTGAAGGTGGGGATCATGAAGTCAGCCCCCTGGAAGAGAAAGCCAGCCCCACTACTGAAGGCGACCTCCAAGGCCAGGCTTGCCAAGGCGCGTTGACCGAGGGTAACTACCTTCCTTTCCTCCACGGGTGGTTGGGCAGACTGGACCACTGCTTCCCTCAGGACATGTGGGCATGTGCAGACTGGAACAGACATATGGGAACTTTCAACTCACTTTAAAGCTGAGGTAGAAAGTCATGTGTAGAAGGAAGCCTCTGAAGGCAGGGCTAGACTGTTAGAACTCTCAGGCAAACTGGGGGGAAAAAATCCGACAGGAGCCACCTGAGTTCTGAGAGGCAGCCTCAGATAGGCTCGATTTCTCAGATTATGGGGTCCCACATAGACACGGGCAACTAAGATCAGGCTGAGTTTTCGGTATTTGGAAAGAAAAAAAAGTTTGGATTCTTTTTGATGGCTTGCTGCCCTTTCCTAAACAGTGGAGACCCCCTGGTAATCATTTCTTTGACAAGGGGGCAGGTGAGAGAAAATCGCACAGAGAAGTGGGACTGTGCTAAAGCACTTGGCTTGCTTCCCTTCTAACTACCTCAGACCTGTCTTTCCCCAGGGTCAGATAGTGAAAGAGGACTTATTCTAGAAACAAGTCCACCTCCACCGGAGGTGATGTTGTGTCTATGCTCAGCGCTGTGACATCATGAACTAAGGAGTCTAAAATGGGCTAAGCCCCTGGCTTCTCTGCCAGATGGAAACAGATCCATCCAGAGCTGGGGAAAGGGGGTAGGTGGAGGGAGGGTGAGTAGTCCTTAAGACTCTTACAGTGAAAATAACTAGAGATTCATTTTATAGAGAACTTACAGCGTGACCAAGGCTGGAGTAAAACCCGTGAAGCAGAAAACACAGGGGGCAGGCTGAAAAAAAAAAATCATCTCATCCCAGAGCCTTGTGGGTAGCTCAAGCTTGTGGGTGGCCCAGAGGCTTGGGCTTTCCTCCATGTCACGCTGACCTGAGCAGTTTTTCACCTGCCGGGATCTGAGTCTCCATGGAAACTGTCTTGATCAGTCTGCTGTTGCTAGAGAGACAGAGGCCCGGCCCATCTAGAGCAAGCATAACTAAGAAACTGACGTTTTCACCCCTGTCTGATTGAGCCCCTTTTTGTTCTGTGGTACGGGTCTCAACAAGTGTCGGTCTGGAGGTCTATTAACTTACCCAGTATTTGGAGTTCATATTTAATAGGGCTGCTTCACAAGCGTGGGGTGAGAGCAGCATTGCCTCTTTGTTCAGGCTTGGTGGATGTCAGCCCAATCTCTGCCCTTTAAGGATTCTTCTGCCTGTAGAGATGGGGTGATACTGACTGGGGGTAACGAAGGGCGGATCATCCAAGTGAAGGTATTACCAACCATCCCCATGTGCCAAGTGCAAAGATGTGCCAAGTTTTATGGCGTGTGGCATTTTTTTGGCAGTGGAAAATGCTCTTAATTATAGCACTTTGGTTCTAATTAGCAGCCCCAGCCTCTCGTGATTAAGCAGTCCAAGGGACAATTCCCAGTCACACAGTGCAGGGGATAGAATTACAGGAACTCTTTGAGGCCTGCTGTGTGTTTCATTATTTTTTTCTTTTCTTTTTCTTCTTCGTGTGTGTGTGTGTGTGTGTGTGTGTGTGTGTGTGTGTGTGTGTGTGTGTGTGGTTTGTCCCTGTCCCCCACCCCACGGGCTCGTGTTTTGCAGAAAACTCCAGGTACATGGAACTGAAATCTCTGGATGTGAGATCGCCAGACTTCACTGAGGCAGAGCTGAAGGAGCCGCTTTCCTTGCCTTCCTGGGAGCCGGAGGACGTGTTCAGCGAGCTCAGCATTCCTCTAGGTAGGTGAAATGCACCGTCCTTCCTGAACTGCTCCAGGAAATGGCAGGTCTAAGGGGGCGGAGGAGCTCCAGGGCTGTCGTCATCCTGTTTGAAGGTATGATGCAAGAACCCAGGTCTGCACGATGGTAAAGTTCTTACAGTTTCAGGCTCCCAGAGCAGACCGAACACCACAGGACCGAACTGTGACTAGAAAGGCCTGTTTCCCACCAGGGAAGCCCCAGCCTTGTGCAGGCAGGAAACAGAAGCCCAGCTGCCTCCCAATTGTGAACTAAAAGGAAACCCCTCTGCTGCCATCTTCCCGTGTGTCCCTGTCCCGTACTGTCCCAGAACAGCGCTGCCTGACTTTTCTCCTTGAAAGATCTGCTTCTCTGAGGCCACGGAGTGGACTGAAGTTGTCCAGGGTACATGGAACAGACACTGAGCCCTTGTCCATCTGTTCATGGATGTTCTTGTGTCTTCAGGCACGTCTTGCCTTCCTGAGCCTTGGTCTCCTCATCCATAGAAGGGGTTGGACCAGCGGGTGGATTTTTAATTAGGTGTGGAGGTGGCGCACACTAGTGAGTAGGGCGGTGGTGTACACTGGTGAGTATGGAGGTGGTTACACTAGTGAGTATGGAGGTGGTGCACACTGGTGAGTAGGGCAGTGGTGTACACTGGTGAGTAGAGCAGTGGTGTACACTGGTGAGTAGGGTGGTGGTTACACTAGTGAGTAGGGTGGTG